TTCTTTGTCGAAAGCAAGCATAGACGGTAAAAGTGAAGAAAGATCCAGGATGCTCGTTTAGTGGCTCCGAAGCTAGCACGATGTTCTATGAAGACCTACTGAAGTTGAGGGGCAAGAAATGAAAAATTTCTGGCGGTTCGTCTGCCAGAGAGGATACTTAACGGAGGGTTCGCCTGTCACTGCCATCCAAATGGTCAGGTCCATGACCACTAAAGAAACTCGAAAAAATTTTTTCGCTGAAACCTCTTAATAGGGGTAATCAATATTCTGACAATTATTTATGGCGCCGACGTGATCTGGGGCCAGCGTGGCGCTAAAAGGCCACTGCGAGAAGGGATGCTGCATAAGCCCCTAAAGAAATTGCAGTGTACCTCACTGTATGCCAAGTAAGGCACTTGTATTTCGACCTTATTCATGTCTAGTTGAGAAACACTTTATAAACTCTATGTATTCTGCTTTACAGCTGAAACAGATGCGAATGAGATGATAAAACTTGCGTATTTTAAGCGATTTGTTTTTATTCCTTTTTTGACATTCCCAATAGCGTTTAGCAAAAATGAAACCCATCTGTGTGGTCCTTGTATGGACCCCTACAACATGCAACAAATCGTTTTGAAAAAGCTCACCACGGCCTGAACGACCTCCATTGTCAGACCGCCTTATATACGCGCTGAGCACGTGAGTGCCCTTTGCGCGGATCCCGAGACGAAATACAGTACTAAGTGAGTTTCGAAATGCGGAATAACAACAGTAAGGGAACAGAGTAAGTTTGCGATTAACTATAACAGCAAAAATAAGTGTATGTATCTACATAACACAATACTTGCCATCTTATTCTGCTGCTCTATGTTGCAACTCCATATTTTTGCTGATTTCAGTCGTCCGATGACGACAGCGAATCGGTCGGCAGTGTCGCTTCCGAGGAATTCATGGAAACTGAAGACGAAGTTCTTGTTCTCGATTTCGATACAACAACTAGTATGAAAAAAGTGAGTACACCTAGCACTGTACTTGTCTACGTTTTGGGCGCTTATCGGATATATCATGCATTTTAAGATGATATCACAATTCACTTGCGACTATCGCAATATCGTCTCCGAGTTCGCCGACGTTGAAATTTTTATCATTTCACTAGATAGTTTAATTGTTGAATGTCTTGCACATTCGTACCATGACTGGACGTTGGCTGGACAGTCTATCGTTCTTACTACCCAGGTAATTTGTTTCCATCAACTATGTAAGATTTGGTCGGGTTCTGCGAACTCCTCTTGCATTTATTTTTCAGATCGATAAGTTCCTACAGCAATTCGTAAATTTTGGTGGAAAATTCAAATTAGTAGTGTTCACTGACTTTGCGTCCCAGTTCGCACGAGACACTACCGCTAGAGCTTTCGCCTCGCCACATGCAATCGCACCACGTTCCATGGATCCCTTCGCCAAAAGGTATACGTCTTGCGGAGGTGCGTTGTTTTGGTGCTTTCACGCTAATTCGGATTGGGTCTACTTTGCTATACGCCGCGCCTTGCACGCTGGTCGTCTGCGCTCTGCTAGGACTGAGCTTCAAAGGCAGTGTGCACGATTACTGGGTGCAGGCGGTTACTGCAAACATCGGTAGAAGGGCTGAGGGAAATACGGCCAAACGCCCTCTTGCCGCCCTTCTACCAGTGACGTTGGCAGTAACCGCCCGTTCCAGCCATCGTGCCCACTGCCTTGGAAGAAGGGGGACACATTCAGGCCGCTGCGTGACATGCTCCTGCGATCTTCGTTAGCGCCACCATTTTATTTGCTTACGACAATGGATGCTTCATTTGTCTTAAGCTCCTGAAATTGTGTTTTTCAGGACTTGCTGTACTTCACAAGCCCTATTGATCCGAACTGGGGACAACTTCTTCAAGATTTAACCCCTTCATTCTTGGTACGTGAGCTTAACATTCTCCTTTTCTTCAATGTAGCTTTGATCTTCTATTGGTAGATGATCTCTACGGATAATGTGACGAGGGAGGCATGTGCGCAAGAAGATTTAGATATTTCTCCCCAGCTCGAAACCATTGGTGAGTTTTGTACCGAGAAGCTTGGAATTTTTTTTGTGAGTGAGTCTGAGGTTGTTGCTTCACGATTCTTAGAGTGACCCCGAACTCCATAGCTCTGGCATTTCTCTTGGTGACCACCCAGCTTGCTGGCTTTGAATCGCCTAGATGTTCATTTATCTTGAAGACAGTCCCGCGCTCCAGCAATTCGTGAGCGGGCTTGTACAACTAGTTTGGTATTCAGTACAGGATTATCCCGCTTTCGCGGTTTTACAGTAAGTAACGAAAGCGCCATGGCTCTCATAAGTAGCAGTTGTGATGTCTCCCTGTTGTCTCACCTACCACAACGAAAGCTACTTTCCATAGTTCTCCCTGTTGTCTCACCTACCACAACGAAAGCTACTTTCCATAATCAGTTTTTACACCATGTTCTTTGCTTTTTTTCACTGTTGGATAATATTAGCATTGGGGGAAGCGAAGAAATCATAACTGAGCTAGAGGAGAAGGGATACCGATTT